GGGGGGGGGGGGGGGGGGGGGGGGCGGGGGCCGGGGGTCGGTGTATTGGATCTTCTCGATGGAAGCACATTCCTTTTGGCCCTCGTTTCCGATAATTGAATTTCTGATCGTTCCCAGCTCCCGTTCTATAATGCTTTTGTGTTAGTTTAATTAGTTTCAAAATTCCTCGTGCTTTAAGAGGATGATTGGTGCTTGGGCAGCCTCTTGGACCTCCTCGTTTGATGCATAACAAAAAAATGCAATTTTATGAATGCATGATTTTTACGGGATGATTTTTTTTTGCTTATATGATATCGGATATGGGAATCGTTTTCCCGCCCTCTTGACAACAATACATACGGCTTCTTAGTGGGCATTTTCAAAGATCTCCGTTTCAGTGTCACCTGCAAGTTGACGCCTGCATTTTTACCCTCCATTGTACACATTCCCACCCACTTACTCCATCAGACGCCTCTTAATTGGAGCAAGTTGGGGGGTGGGGGTGGGGTGGGGGTGGGTGGCTTTATGACTCCACACACTTGTTACTTGTCCAGCAGGTCATTCAACCACTTGAAAAACGCCGACGATGGCTTTGATCTTCCCTTTCTCTCTCTCTCTTTGACCCTGTGTTTGATCAACACTTTTAAGGGCTTTTAATCGTTCGGGGGGAGGGGGGAGGGGGGGGGGTGGTCGTTTTTACTGTTAGCTAATTTGGAACGAGTAGAATTCAAACACGTGAATATATTACCTGTCTTTGGAAGCTTCTCTAGTGTCCCCCACATCATTGTTTTCCAGTTGCAGTTAGCGTTGTTCTGCTATCAAAGTGCCTTCTTGAAGTTGTGATCAAGGCAAGTTGCGCTTGTGGCTTAAAGACCTGATTCCGCCGGATACCATAATGAATCAATAAGATGACTTAATGCTGTGGTCCATTTGTAGGCATATTTATACTGTCTGCTTCCTGGAACGATATACAAAGCCTTTCTGTGTTTGTTTGGTGGTTATATTCAGTGTGCTAATTTGCACCAAAATTTGGGTTGGCAACACGTTTTCAACGAAGGGATTGTACCCCCCTCCTCTTCTCCTTGGATCGTACTCAATTTTTTTTTCTCCAACTGGTTTTCTGTCTAGTCTTGTTTCCATCCCACTCAAATGGGTTTTCAAAAGTTGGTCTCCGCCACTTCAAACACTACAACCTCTCTTCACCGCTTGAAGGGGAGTGGTGTGGGGGGGGGGGAGGGAGAGGGAGGTAAGGGTGCGTGGGGAAGTATGTGTATCATAAAATGTGGACAGCAACTACTGTTTTCTTATTAAACTCTCAGTGGCTTGCCAGCACTAACCCTAATCAATAGGTGATCTTTTTGCTAACACCCTTTTATTCACATTTAAGTCTCGGCCACCTTTAATTGGAACGGGCCGCTGGTGGTCGGTAGTGTCATTTTATTGGTTACTTCCTAGTCATTAAAACTTTGTTTGATCTTTTTATTCAAATATTGCATTCATGTTACTTTCTGTACGAAGATTTCTTTCCATATAAACCATGGACTTAGCAATACGTTGATGATTTAAAGCACCTTTGAAGTATTTTTGGTTTAAACAAAAAATAGCGGTCATTTGAGGAATTTCCAGCTGTTATCTTTCTTTCTTTTAATGTATTCATTTGTTTATATATCAAATGGCAGGCGTTGTATTTCATTGAGGAAGCTCTAAGGGCGGGTTTAAACTTGTAAATCTTTGTTCCATTTAAAGTTATGACTTTCTCTCTGAATAATCGATTTGTACTCACAAAGCCAGTCTGATAGGAGTGTAAATGCCTGCACCGTAAGGTAGTGGGAGGACCCTTCACATATTGGCGCATTAAGTCTATTAAAGCTGTTTTTTTGACTGGATGACTGGAAGAAGTTTATTTATAACAAATGGCAGGCGTTTTGATAGTTAGCATTAGCCCTTTGGTTAACTTCGGGCTTCACAGAGGGGAGGAGCAACATCAAAATGAGAAGAATTCGAGAGGGAGAACAGAAGAGTGATTCACAGATGTAAAAGAAACAGACAGAAAATGCTCAGAAAGGGTAAGATGAGTAACGAGAAAGGGGTCGCATATGACATACAGTGGGGTCATGGTAGTTTGAAGTCAGAAGTCAACTGTCAATTAATAGACTTTTATGCCGCATGAGTATACGTTGCCCAGGGTGCACCACGAGGAGGTAAGTCTATCCCACAGCCCTTATTATTATTATTATCTTTTCAAGTAGTATGTTTGGGTGCACTTGAGATTGGCACGCAGATGAGGGAATTGTTTATTAATGGCGCCTTCGTTTATAGGTGTCCCATTTCATAAACTCTTCCAAAAGCAGTTTTCTCCCTAGGATGTTTATTACTCCCTCAAAAGGCATATTTGTGCGCCTTGCCAACTTTAATTTGCCCTCGTTTTCGTTTGGAGTGACTCTACTGGTTTATGGCTGAAGTGGATCAAGAGACGTGGAGAGTCCAGATTTAGTCACTACCCGGCTTTCTCGGAAACACTTTGTTCGAGTGTATTTTACGACAGGCACAAATCAAACTCCCGACGAGATATGAATCCCATGCCACCCCCCTCCCCCACTTCTCTCCCAGGAGTAGTCTAGCCTACTGTCTATCCTCTATCTATTGTCGGTCGCATAAAACACATTCCAACACGTCTGCGGCTGACTATAAAGCGTCTTGAAGCACACAGTGAGAGGTCACTTTGCCGAAAAGTCATTATTCACTTTGCACGCCGGCTAGACAGTAACTGCCGGTCCTATTCGATGAAAGTTTTCCCAATCTCTTCCTCTACACACCCCCATCCCCAGCCGCCACCACACCCTCTTGTCCACTAGTCAATCGGTCTGTGCGTTTTCGCCCCTTTGATGATGGGGATAAGAAGAGACAGGTCAAAGCTCGCTGATAATACTTGGCGCCATCAAAATGTGACTGAAGAATCTAACTCTTTTTATGTCACCATAGGAAGCGAATACGAATACTTGTGGCATTCAATTAGGCTTGTGTGTTTATCTGCTCATTTATGC